AACTCACCAGAAAGATAGAGACCGAGAGATAGAATGCGAGAAATCACCCCCAGGGGGGATGGCCACGCTGCAATCCCTTCTCCTCCATTCTCCTCTCTGGATCTTGGGCACATGCGCCCGGCGTGAGTTTAAGCCACCAGGTCCGGGACTCGAACTGTGGTCATCTACATGGGAGTTCAGTGACATAGCCATTACACTAACTGCTGGTTCCTAGTTTCTCTTTTCTAAACAAAGTAAGATAATATCTATTTAGGGCTTACTATATATTGCATGATATTATCTCACTTAAACATCAAATCATAGGCATTTAAAATGTTATGAGGGGAAAAGTCAAGGTGCTTTTGGAAACTATTTTAAAAGGAAAAGACTTAAAACTCCTAAAATTACTTGACAAATGAATTTGTATAGTACAGTGGTATGGCGATAATCTGTTGTGTTAGACCGTAAAATAGAGATAATCACTCTATTGATACATTCTGTGGAACACTCTTCAGGATATACCATACTGAAAGTGGAAGCCACACCTTAACTGAGTGTTCACTAAGTGTCAAAGGCATAGCAGATCCTTACCCTCTGTGTGGGTCAGGTTCTTAGACCCAACATCAGAAGCTACAGTTCTAAAACTCTAAAATTGACATATTCTCTACATATTGACTTGTTGTGACTATTTTTGCATAGAAGAACATGGAAAAATACATCATGACTTTTCTGATGACCCAGTATTTTCTCAACAAAAAGGCAGAATTATAAAGTCATTTTGCCAAACCAGGGCAATAGAAATAGAGATAAAATAAGAAACCTGTTTTCCTCACTCCTCATAATTATTCTTTAGCATTACTTTGTTCTTTCCACTTGGTAACTTTCCTAATCACTACATTGGCCTGTGTGTGGTCCTTTGTTAATTCAGTGCTTTCAGTGCCCCGACCTAAACCACGCAGAATTAGTACATGACCTGTATTTATTCCTAAACATCCCTGGGTGAAATGAAATCAGGCTATCTTGTGAAAAATTAGGAAGTGTTCTGAAAAATACTAATTAACCCAGTCTTTCATCTGTTATATTTTTGTCCTTTAAAGAAGCAATTAATGACTACCACAATTTGGAAACATTAAAATGTAAAAGTAGTGGGTAAAAATCCTCAACACCTGAATTAGGATAAATATGGTGGAAGTAGAGAGTACATTGAAGATCCTGAGCTGATTAAAACAAACAACAGCAAAATTAATAGAAGTTGGTGAAAATATAAAGTGAGAAGAAAATTTGAATTTGAATGTTACTTTCATAAATAGCAAAGAGAGATAAAGAAGAGGTTCCTTTTGTGGGATCAAAGATGAGGCATTTGAAATGACATGTAATAGTATCCCTTGTAATGCTCAACCTCCAAATATGGTTTCATAAAATACACAAAATGCAAACGTAAGTTTTAATGTGTTAGAGGAATAGGAATTTCTTTGTGCTTTTAAACAGCTGTTACAAGATTATACTTGTGATTCTAATTACGCTTAGTTTATTTTGAAGCATAAAAGAACAATCAGAAAAAATGGTAGAGCTGAGTTGTTATTGTGGTAGAATGCTGTCTTTCTGTAAAATACGAATTTGCAGATAAATCTCTATATCATATAATAAAGAAAATGAACTTTGTGTACTTAATAAACTAGTATTTAGGCTCAGAGCATTCTTCTACTGCCACATCTTGCATATTTTATAAAACAAATATCTATTATAGTACAGAAGTATAAAATATACCATTATTTCATCGTGAAATATTGCCAGAAATATTCAACTTACTCATGAACTAGAACTTTTATTTATTTTCTAGGTTCAAGAAATTAAAGTATTTCTTAGAGTAAAGAATCAACTTTTTTAAAAAAACATTAAAGATTTTAGGAACCTTTGTAGTACTGGTTTCCTGGTTCTAGCATTGTCTCCCATAAATGCGCTCTCTAATCTTGAAGTCAGCACTCTGTGGAACTGAACTGCTAAGCTGAACTGCTGCCTTTTTTTTTTTTTTTTTTTTTTTTGAGGTTTTGCCTTAAGGGCCCATGTGCTTGCCCGAGAGACAGAGACAGATAGAGAAAAATGGGAAATCACCCCTCAGGGAGGGTTGACCACACAGCAATTCCTGGAATCTTGGGCACACACGCACATAAGCCCAGCATGAGTTTCAAAGGTCCAGGACTAGAACTGCTGTCGGCCATGTGGGAGTCCAGCAACGTAACCACTGTGCCATTTGCTGACCCCTGCTGACCTGTTTTTTAAGTTTGCACTGTCGTAGAGGAGTTTATCTTTCCTATTGGTTCTAGACGCAAACTAAAGGGTAATACATACTTTAGTACGAATTACTTTAATTAGTAAAATTGCTTTCCTTCTTGGTAGAGAGGAGGAGGTCACAGTTGAGAGAGACTTCTGGAGCATGGGCTACTAGGCAAGCCTTGATAAGATAACCTTGTTATGCACGACAGCATTTGCAGTCCCAGAGCATACTACCAAGGTAGAGTCAAAATGGCATGTTGGCCATGCTCGTGCCAGTAAGGGTACTATTTATACATTAGTCAAGATAAATTACAACATTGGGTAGATGAAAACCAAAGAGAAAGTTTCTTGCTAGCTATGACAACATAACTATGATATAAACTCCAGGTCCTTATAATACTTTATATACTGGTTTTAAAAAACTGATAACCATGTCAGACTCTTCCTTTTTTTTTTTTTTTGGAGAGGTTTTTGGTATAGAGCGTTTGCGCTCGCCAGAGAGACAAAAAGAGACAGAGAGATAGAAAGTAAGAAATCCCCCCCCGGGGGGATAGCCACACCGCAATCCCTTCTCCTCCATTCTCCTCTCAGGGTCTTGGACACCCACGCACACACGCCCGGCATGAGTTTAAGCCACTGGGTCCAGGACTTGAACTGTGGTCAACTATGTGGGAGTCCAGCAACATAGCCATTACGCTAACTGCTGTTCCCACCATGTCAAACTCTTCTATGTCCTTATTTTCCATGTTCATTCTTCTCCTGGGTAATGTGTTTGTAAACTGACATTTGGGAAGTGTTATAAATATGGATTATGTATAGGTAGTGTGGATAAAATCATTGATTATTTGATACTACTAGTTAGGGATACGTATTTCTCTTGATCCTTTATTTTTAATTTTTAAAAAAATTATTTTATTTAACTTCATTTATTTTAATTTAACCAGAGAGGGACAGAGAGATGGAGAGAAAGAAAGAGAGAGAAAAAGAGTGAGAGAGAGAGAGAGAGAGAGAGAGAGAGAAAGAAAGCAAGCTGCCAAGTCCAGGACTCAAACCATGGTCGACCATGTATGAGTCCAGCGCCCTTAACCACCACACCATTTTCTAGCCTGATCCTTTCTTAATATGCTTAAAATTACTTATATCTCACAACTTTCTTTTAAGTTTTGAAATCATAATCAGTCCTCATTTAAGAAAATAAAGTTACTTGACAGTGCTGTCTCCTAAGCCTCTGTATATGTCCAGACAAATGGATATGTAACCTATATTCTTCTCCACACTGATTGCATGTATTGTAGACTGCCATAGAAATATTTTTACTTGAAAAAGCATAAGTATACGTATTTCCTGACACCCTTCCAATTTTTAGAAAAATATGTTCATGCCTACTAAAAACTTGTTAGTTTCATTCTGCGTAGATACATCATCTTTTAAAAAACATTCTCCCCCAAGATTTCTTTTTAAATGGTTCACAGTTAAATTTAAATTTCTATATTTAGGTAGGATTATGTTTATATACCAACCACCAGTATCCAGGAAATTCAGTGGTAAAGCTGACACACAGGGAGTTTATAGTCTGTTTTGTAGTGTGTGTATTTAAAGAAGGTTTGAAGCTTACTTAGCAAAATTGCTTAAACATTCAAGCAGAATATCTTTAGAACAAATACACTATTTGATCTCATATAATTATTAAGACAACAGTGTACCACTTTTTAAAGATTAATTCTCAAGAATATGAATTAAATATGTTAGATTTATTCCTTACAAAGAAGGATGCATTCAGGAACAGCTTTTATATGTAAATATTTTTATAATATTTCACATTGGTTAGAATTGGTTTGGTGCAATCAGCATGGTTTGATCAAATTTGGAAGAAGTTATGGGCACATTTTTGTAGTGTTTTCTCCAGCATTATTTTTTTCAGATGGATGTAGTTCATTTTCTTTCCAGCTAATCAAAATAAGAAGCCGAGTTTGCCTGTGCTAAAAAATAGAACTATCATTTTTCACATTCTTTTATTTTTCAGGTCATTTTCAAGTAAGATTGTGTTTCTAGGACTTCTGAATTCCTCAAAACTCTTGACTTTGTAGATACAAGGCCCAGATGAACATTACAGGGGATCTAACTTTTCATGCAGTATGTTTTGTGTTGTGCATTCCAGATACAGTTAACTTTTTGTGTGCATGTGATTAGTGTGGAAAGAAATTAATGCAGTCCAGTATTATGATTTATGGACTGAATCTTTTACCCACTGAAGACTTGCCAAAACGAGAAGTATTTTTTTCCTTTGGATATTAGAAACAGCTACTGTTTTTGTTGATATTTTAAAGTTCTGAATGGACCTATTTCAAATCATACCAGCATGGGAGCTCAGATTAATAATATACTATTCAATCAGTGATACTGAGTGAAACCATTGCTCACACGGGTATGCGGGATAAAATTTCATAAAATTATTTTCAGGTGCATTAATGCATTTCTGGAAGCTGTGCATGATTTTTCTTATGCATGAAAGAAATCAAGGATTTCTATTTTTTGTATCAGTTACAGGTGGGCTCATAAGTTAATTTAATTGCATTTTTTATATCTTAAAACATAAGACATTTTGCTTTTAAAAGCACTAATGTGATTGCTGGATTATTCCCAAAGGTTTTAAACTCTTAGTATATTTATCTTTCTTGAGACATCAGGACTCTACTATATTTAACTTATACTACTGAGAAAAATTTCTAAATTGCCTTTGTTGTTAGTTACAGCAAGCTGCTGAAGTTTCTCAGCTACGAGGAGCAAGAGTAATCTCTGCTGAAGATCTTCTGTTTCTGATGCGTAAAGATAAGGTAATTTAAAATAATTTCATTGTATTAAAATGCCAGACTTCATGCTTAATTGAATTTACATAAGGCAACTATGTACTCTTGTTATATGACTTTCAAATTTGAATCATAACCATTGAACTACCTTCATAGTTTGCAAAACACAATGAATTTGCTACGAGAGTATTGGTATTTATTTTAACATGGTCAAGGTATTATATAAATATCCTGCTAACAAGTAATCCTTACTTACACTTACATATCTATCTAGACATTTTCATTGCTACGTAATATTCACTAAATATCAACTCTGTGTTTTGTGCTTACACTCCATCAGTGAGTAGCACATCTTTTTTTGTTTGTTTTGTACATTAACAAAATTACAAGTATTCATAGAGTTATTTTTTTACCTTGAAATACAAAGTTTATTCTGTGACACTGGCTTATAGGCAAACTTAATCAATCCAGCTGGGTATTTCAAATGCGTGTGTTTATATATATACATATCTATACATGCACATGTGCACAGCATAATTTCTATTTTATTTATAAAGTACCACCTTCTTTCTCTTTGAACTCTGGTATGAAATATTTATCTTAATATTTGTGTTTTTAATTTTGTCATAATTATTTCCCATGAGTTAGTTGAAGATATTCTATTTTCCATGTTTTAGTTTAGACATGCACATCAGCTCTTAGATGATATAAATAATATAAAAGTTGGTGTCTTCACTATTATGAAGTTTATGGTCTGGTTTAGGAAATCTGTATGATTTAGTTAAAGAAACATTTTAAAATTAATATGATTTCAAGTTCGTGTGATAAAACGGAGAGGGTATAGGATTTGTTAAAACAGTTTCTGCCTAGTATGAGGCTTACATGGGGGGTTGGGGGGGTGTAGAATGGGCCAGACGCAAGGAAGCTAACCAGTAGGCTGGTTCACTAATCCAGGCAGAATGTGGTTAGTGTGCTGACTCTGAAAATGAATAGAAAATAAGAATTTAGAGAGAGAGAGAAATTTGCAGTATTTGGCAACTTGGTTACATTTGGAGGACTAGGGAGCAGTAGGCATCAAGTACTACACCACCGAGGAGGTGCTAGGAGGAAGGATCCTGGAAACGCTGTTGGAGACATGAAGGCTTGGAGCAAAAATTCTTTATGAAGCGAACTGGGGAGCAATAGAGATAGCATTAGTACTTTACGGGCCATCTCATCAGTTTTTCTTTTCTACCTACAAAAGTAAAGAGGTTACCAAGTTAAATAGTTCACACCGACACTTTTTGCTGCCCTTGTGGGGAAGTCTAAATTTTAAATCATATTGAAACTTTAGAAACAGGGCTTAACAGGGCTCTTCTATCATCTAGACTCTTAACTAGAATCTTTACCAACCAAGAGCATAAATGTAATGGTTGCCAGTTTTCTCACCTTTCTCTTCAAAGCAGTGATTTCATTTATATGCTGATATGTTCTCAAATTTTAGGTAACTTTACATAGGTAGAATACCAGATAAAATGAAATTAATGTGCTGAGTGGAATTAGAGCACAGAGAAAAAGAAGGATGGCAAAAGACCTATGTCCGAGTATTTATATCTCAGGGCTATTGAAAATATCAAGTCAGAGGAGTGTAAAGAACTTTGTCAAAATGCAGTATGGTTAGTATTAGAAATCTTAAACCCAGAGGTCAGCGCTAGACATTCTAAGTGTAAGTACACAACAAGCTATAAAATATTGTCAGTCCTTTTTTAAGTTAAGCAATATTGTGGTCTTGTAATAATTTTAAACAGGGCTTTTTTTTAATTAATTTATTTTTTGAGAGGTTTTTGCTATAGGGCGCGTGCGCTCGCCAGACAGAGATAGGAAGCGAGAAATCACCCCCCAGGGGGGATGGCCACGCCACAATCTCTTCTCCTCCATTCTCCTCACGCATGCAAACATGCCTGGCCTGAGTTTTAAGCCACCAAGTCCGGGATGCGAACTGCGGTCAACTACATGGGCGTCCAGCGACATAGCCATTACACTAACTGCTGGTCCCTAAACAGGCCATTATTAAGACCTAATGTATCATTCATCAGTTCTGAGTTTCATAAAAATATGTTTCTCACATAACAGGGTGTTTATCAGAAATATAACATATAAACCAACTTATCTAATTATGAGAAGATTCTCAGAGAATAAAAAATATAGAAAGGACATGGTTTGCCTTTTTAAAGCTATTGTAACAAACTCATTTTCTAAACGTTTATGTCAGTTTTTTTGCTTATTATTATTTAAAGAATTATTTATTTAATTGTATTTATTATTTTATTTTTTTTTTTAATTTGCTATAGGGTGTGTGCACCCACCAGAGACAGGAAGAAGGTGAGAAAGAGAGAATGTGAGAAAGCAAGGCAGGTCTGGGACTTGAAACTTAGTCTGCCATATGGGAGTCCAGAACCTTAACCACCATGTCACCCGCTGGCCCCTATCATTTTATTTTTATTGTTTTTATTTTAATTTATTTTTTTGCCATAGGTCGTGTATGTTCACTAGAGAGAGACAGAGACAGAGAGAGAAAGTGAGAAATCACCCTCCAGAGAAGATGGCCATGCCACAATGGCCATCCAGATGGTCTAGCCACCTTAACCTACATGATACCTGCTGGCCCCCAAGTTTATTTTATTCATGATAGTAGGTGTATGTGTGTGCATGAAAGAGAGAGCGATAGAAAAGAACTCTCTCCAGCATCTCATCACAGTGTGATCCCCTTTCCCCAGCCCTCCAGCAATTCAGTATCTTGGGCATGCTCACCTGCACCTGCTGTGCTTTCAAGCCAACCTCAGGATCTGAATCATAGTCAGTAACAGGCCTTCCAGCACTATAATGTAGTTAGTAACCGCTGTACCACCAGGCTGAACCTATATTTCAATTTTTAGAATAAAATTTGTCTTAAATGTATACAAAATCCATAGGATAAGTAGAGTCAACTTATTATGGGAAACATGATATTTATCACAATCGTCAAAAAGAATTTAAACTTTTTATGAGTTTTTTTAGACAATTATTGTCATTCTGAACAATCTAAATATTTGCAAATGAAAAGTGATTTTAAAGAACCACATATGGCATAGTGGTTATGTCACTGGACTTCCACATGGCCGACCACTGTTCGAGTTCCAGACCTACCAGCTTAAAACTCATGCTAGGACGGAAACCAGCAGTTAGCGTAATGGCTATGTCGCTGGACTCCCACGTAGTCGACCGCGGTTTGCGTCTCGGACCTGGTGGCTTAAAACTCACGCTGGGTGCGTGCCCAAGATCCTGAGAGGAGAACGGAGGAGAAGGGATTGCGGCGTGACCATCCCCCCTGGGAAGTGATTTCTCGCTTTCTGTCTCTATGTCTCTCTCTGTCTGTCTGGTGAGTGCATGCGCCCTATAGCAAAAAACCTCATACAAAAAAAAAAAAAAAAAGAGAGAAAACTCATGCTAGGTGTGTGTGCGTGCATGCCCAAATCCCAAGAGGAGAATGGAGGATAAGGGATTGCAGCATGGCCATATCCCCAGGGGTGATTTTTCGATCTTTGTCTCTCTGTCTTTCTCTGTCTTTCCAGCAAGCACATGTCTTTTGGAGCTAGCAGGTGTTGTGCTGGTTAAAACACTGGACTCTCACATGGCTGCAGGTAGCTCAAGCTCTGGACCTGGCAGTTTGCTTACTTACTTTCCCACTCTCTCTGTCTCTGTCTGGTCGAACTAAAAATAATAATAATAAATAAAATTAAAATAATTCTTTAAAAAACTTGTCTTTTAGCTTTTATGTTAAATTTAATGACTACATTTTTATCTTATACTATTGTGATAAAGATTGCTATATTTTCTCCAATGATCCTAGAGTACAAGTTTATTAAATTTAATTGTCATACTAGTATTTAATCAGTAAAGTCAATATGTACATAAATTTTCTTTTATTTCATATTTTTTTAATAGAAAAAACTTAGAAGACTGCTAAAATACATGTTAATCCGAGACTACAAATCGAAGATTGTCAAAGGCATAGATGAGGACGATCTTCTAGAAGGTAACCAAAATAAAGCACTGAACTAAAAACAATAGTTTATGATTCATGTATGCTGGAAGGCACATTTAGGCAATATCAATGTCGATATTCCCATGAGAATAGAGTGTGTGTCGTTCTTTTAAATAATATAATGCACAGATTATTTAAATATTTATTTAGTTGGCAGTTTAACCTTGTGATTTTTTTTTTTTATTTAGGTGACTTATAGGAATCTAGTATTTCAATTCTTTACTAATGTGTACTGCTTTGCATCAGATCGTCATGAAACTCAAAAAACTTTGTTGATTCAAAACATAATTGATTTTAGCAAGCACACTTATACACCAGAACTATAATATATCTTTGAAACTGACGCATGTGGGTTTTTGTTAATTTGCCACACACATGTCGGATGCATGTTATGTAAAGTTATCTCATTCTGTTCTGTTATTTCTATGCTGTTTGAAATCTAAGGAAAAACATAAGACAGAGTAGAAAATTTTTATCTGTCAACTTAGTTATCCACATTAGAATATTTAGAAAAATATTAACAATGTGTATGGAGATATCTTTGACTGCACCAGTATATCCATGATGGGAAAATTCATTTGATATGCTGTAATGATACACATTAATTGAAGATAATAAATATATAAATTAAAAAAAACTAAAAAAAAAAGTGCTAACTTATAAATAGATAAGTACTAAAACAACACTTATTGAGTAATAATAAATATATTGTGTTTTTAAAATAACTCCTGTTTCATCTTGATATTCATTGTATAGTGGATGCACTGATAAATTAAGTAGCTAAACAAATTCTACTGGATTAAATAGAATTCCAGAAAACTAGAGTCAACAAACTTTGGTTTTTTTTTAGAGGTTTTTGCCTTAGGGCACGTGTGCTCGCCAGAGAGAGACAGAGAAGTGGGAGGAAAAGTGAGAAATCACCCTCCACATGAGGATGGCCATACTGCAATTCTTTCTTCATTCTCCTGCTAGGACTTTGGGCAGGCACACACACGCACCCAGTGTGATTTTTAGGTCACCAGATCTGGGATTCGAACCATGATCAGCCATATGAGAGTCCACCAACACAAACACTACACCAGCTGCTGGCCCGAGTGAACAGACTTTTAAAGAAAAGTTATTACAGGGGCCAGCAGGTGCCCTATAGCAAATTTTAAAATAATAATAATTATTAATATTTTAGAAAAATAATTGCTTTCACTTAATCAACAAATCAAGTGAATTGTCTTTACAAAAAAATTGTGATCAAATGTATTATAAAATGTTGCTTATTTAATATTCCTGTCGTTCTGATATAATTAATTCCAGGAAAATAATTCTACAGATGAATTTAAATGTTTCTTTTTATGAAATGAATGAAGAATACATACTTGGAGCAAAGCATACCTGGCTTCCAATCATCTACATCTTTCTCGCTTTTCTGTGTGTGACCGTAAGGGTTCATTTTCTCATCTGATATGTTTCTCTTTTCATTCATTTCTAAATTACTTATGATTGGAATTTATTCTAGGTCATTTTTATAAGGAATTATTTTATTTAACTTTATTTATTGCAGAAAAAGTGAGAAGCAAGCTACTGTCCAGGACTTGAACCACATCAGCCATGGGGGAGTCCAGCATCCATAACCACCATGCCACCTGCCGGCACCTCTAGATCATGTTTTATAAAGGTGTTTAGGGAACCAGCAGTTAGCGTAATGGTATGTCGCTGGACTCCCACGTAGTCGACCGCGGTTCGCGTCCCGGAACCTGTGGCTTAAAACTCACGCCGGGCGCGTGTGCGTGCATGCCCAAGATCCCGAGAGGAGAATGGAGGAGAAGGGATTGTGACCATCCCCCCTGGGGGGTGATTTCTCACTTTCTGTCTCTATGTCTCTATCTGGCGAGCACACGTGCCCTATAGCAAAAACCTCTACAAAAAAAGAAAAAAAAAAAGGTGTTTAAAATTCTCAAGTAGATAGTACCAAGTATTTTGTTGAGTTTTATTTATGATCAAAATGTTGGGAACCAGCAGTTAGCGTAATGGCAATGTTGCTGGACTCCCACGTAGTCGACCGCGGTTCGTGTCCCGGACCCGGTGGCTTAAAACTCATGCTGGGCGCGTGTGCGTGCGTGCCCAAGATCCCGAGAGGAGAATGGAGGAGAAGAGATTGCGGCGTGACCATCCCCCGTGGGGGGTGATTTCTCGCTTTCTGTCTCTATGTCTCTCTCTGTCTGGTGAGCGCACGTGCCCTACAGTGAAAATCTCTCCAAAAAAAAAAAAAATGTGACAAAATAGTCTCCTTTTGGAATTTAAAGCTTTTATTGTGGGCAAGATTTTTAGAGCATGACAACCAAACATACCTCCCTTTTCTTCAATTTCCAGTTCTCATTTGTCTTTTTCTCTAGTTGAGCATATGAGGTTTTCTTATATTCAAGTAAAAGTGAGGCTTCGGCTCTGCAGTATTCCCCTTTAGGACGTTGGGCAGAGACTTTACCCCCACTCTGGTCTAGTTATACACAGAAGACCAGAAGGGAAGAGGCCTTGGGATAATGACCAGGAACTGGCATGTGTTGGGAAGAGCTTGTTCTTTAGGAATCCGTGAAAGCCTGGAGAGAAGATTGACATAGACCTCTCGAGAATATGCCTTTTAACTCTCAAGGACTAAGAACTTGCTGAACAGCTGGTCTGAACCTTTCTTGTCCTGGATACTCGGGGTGGAGAACAAACCTACCATCGGATATGGTCATACCCCTTCTCTTTCATCTTTCCCCCATTTTGTGATTTGGGGCACTCATGCATACGTGTCTGGTACATTTGTCAAGCTGTTGGATCCAGGACTCAAATCACTGGGTAAGCCATGTGGGTTCTAGTGCCTTAACTACCAGGTCATGGAGCTGGCGCAGCATCGTAATTTTTTGAAAAGTCAGTCTTCATACTAAATTAGGGCCTGGATAATAAAATACAATATCTGAAAGCACATAGGAAAATAAAAAATACATGAAAGTTATGAGGAAAAAGGGAAGAGAGAAGATAAATCAGAGGGCTTAACATACATATGAGAGGCACTTCATAAAGAGAAAAAGGAAGAAATGGAGAAGAGAGAATTATTAAATAAACGATAAAAGTAAGTATCTTTAACTGAGAAAATCTAAGTCTTCAGAGTAAAAAGATTCATTGAATTATAGGCTATTTAATGACCAAAGATACATACCTGAAACATCTTAGTAAAATTCTTGATCTCCAAACCTAGTGGGAAAGATCTTCAAAAGCTTAGTCCCTTCTCTGTCCCCCCCACAAGAAAAGGAATGATTTAATGAACCCAATTATAATAGGATTTCTCATTTGTAACACCAAACCTGGAAGACACCAGAACAACATCTCTTGATTCATGAGAGGAAAGGATGAAAACACAAGGACTTTTTACTCTGTCAAGATAAATGTCTATCTCTTAGGGATAAGGAAAGATGTTTGATAATATGCCAAAAATGCAGAAAGTAAATCAGATCACTCATACATCTCATCTAGAGTCTTCAAAGTTAGGAAAAAAGAAAAAATGTATAAGAGAAAATGTTTTGAGCATTCTTACGTGGACCCAGTATTTCTCTCTAGTGATATGTAAGAATGTGCAATGTAAGTGCTAAATTTCTTGAAATACTGTCAGTATTCTACACATTATACTCCTTTTCATCAAGAGCCAAGAATTTAAAGGTAGAGAGTAAAGGAGTGAGGTAAAAATGCTTTGTAAGTCTGGCGATAGGGAATGGAGATAGGGAAAATGGAGGTGTCCTGAAGGCTTCCTACTCCTAGAATGGAGGAAAGATAAGGAGGAAAAAAATTTACTTTACTGGGGAAATGTTACTTCTTGGTGGGGGGGTAAGTTGATACTTTGTTTCAAATAATTTAAACTTGTGTAAAATATGATTAAGCAATATGTTCCAATAAAAAGGGGGATATAAAAATGAATGGAAATAGAAGTTAATTCTTTCAGTAAAAAACAGATTGGAGACTAGCAGATGGGGTAAGGGTTACTTGCTGGACTCTCATGTAGTCGACTGTGGTTTGAGTCCTAGACCACAGTGTGACTTAAAACTCACACTAGGCATGTATGCATGCATGTTCAAAATCTAAGAGGAGAATGGTGGAGAAGGGATTATTGAGGTGTGGCCATCTCCCCAGAAAGTGATTTCTTGCTTTTTGTTTCTCTGCCTCTCTGGTAAACACACACTATAGCAAAAATTTCTCTCTCAAAAAACAAATAAACAAATTGGGGCCAACAGGTGTAGTGGTTAAGGCATTGACTCCCACACAGCTGCCTGCAATTTAAGTCCCAGACCCCATGGCTTGAAACTCACGCCAGGCCCATGTGCATGCATGCCCAAAATCCCAAGAGGAGGTTGGAGGAGAAGGAATTGCAGAGTGACCATTCCCCCTAGGGAGTGATTTTTCATTTTCTTTCTCTCTCTCTCTGTGTCTCCAATGAGCACACATGCCCTATAGCAAAAATCTCTCTTTAACAAAAAAGAAAGAAAAAAGAAATTGTAGGCTAGCTGGTATATAAAGTGGCTAAACTGCTGCAAGGGTTCAAGTTCCCACCTAGTGTCTTGGAAAATATGCTGGGAACATGCATACATATGCCCAAAATCTGGAGAGGACAGTGAAGGAGAAGGAATTACAGTGTGGTCATTGCCCCTGGGGGGTGCTTTCTCACACACCCCTGCCCCTGATTCCCCACTGGCTTTCTCTCAGATGAGTACATACGCAGTATAGCAAATTGGGGGGGAAAAAAAAAAGACAGTAAAGATAAAACTCCAAGATGAAGTAAGGTTGTGAGTAATGAGAAAGAAAAACATGCATAGAAAAATGCAGAGAAAGCAGAAGTGGTCATGTTAGCATCATGAAGGGTATAATATAATTTTTTTATTTGCCAGATAACACATGTGCTTACTAGAGAAAAAGAGGGAGAGAGAGAAAACAGCCTGCAGTGGGCATAATCCCGCTGTACTTCCTTCTCCTGCCCATATCCCTCCTGTTAGGGTTTGGGGTGCTCATACACTCATGCTTGATGTGTTTGTCAAGCTGTCAGGTTCAAGATGTGAGCTGCAACTACAAGTCCGAAAAAGAGCTGTAGCCTTGTGGAATCTGGACCCCACAATCACTACACCGTGGGGCCTGCTCAGTAGAATGTAATATTTAAATCCCCAAACAGGTAAAATAAACATACGAGAGATTTTCAAAAAGTTAATGTAAAATATGTATTATGAGAAAGACTATACATAGATTTAAATATTTTGGCGCCAAAATGTACTTTTTAAAGTCTTCTCATATACAAGGCAAAATATCTTAGTATAATAAAACTGTAACCACTAAGTAATAAACAGGAAATAACAAGATATAGTTTGAAGTTTATTTCCATGGTGTGTAATGTCTATGTGTTTTTTCCACTATGTCCACAGAGCATTTATAAAAATTAATGATGGAACTGGCTGCAAAGTAAATCTTTACAAGTTAAAATAAGAATAGATAGGTAATATCCAATTCACTACTATTAATTCAATCAATCTAAATAAACAATGAAATCCCAATATATTAACTAGTTGGAAATTAAGAAATGCAGTTTTAGATAATTCCAGAATCAAAACGGATATTTAGAAAAGTAAAGAAAAACAAAATACTTTGTACAAGCATTTGTAGGAGGACCTAAAGAGACAGTTCTGGGTATTGAAATGGGGTATTGAACAGTTACCGTTGGCTACCAAAATTAATAACTTACAAGTAAGTATAACAAGGATATTTGACTGTTACCTTAAGTAGTCAAATTTTATTTTATTTATTTATTTTTAAAAATTTATTTATTTATTCATTCATCATAGTTTGACCAGAGAGGGACAGAGAGAGACAGAGGAAAGCAAGCCACCTTCTGGCACTTGAGTTCAAGTTCTGGCACTTGTACTGAGGTTGGCCATATGGGAGTCCAGTGTCCTTAACCACCACGCCACCTGCTGACCCCGAGTAGTTAAATTCTAAAAGAAACACATTCAAATGTCTCACCAAATGTGTTTTATTACATTTTTTGTTGTATTTATTTTCACGTTATTTTTGTTAATCTTCTGCTTATTATTAGATAATATTTTACTCATCTCAATTAGTATTCTTGGTCTCAAACTGAATTTTCTAGCAAA